GTCCCATCAGTCTCTGTACCAGAGGAGCTTACACTCTAATGTCCCCTCCCCCACAGTCCCATCAGTCTCTGTACCAGAGAAGCTTACATTCTAATGCCCCCTCTCCCTCAGTCCCATCAGTCTCTGTACCAGAGGAGCTTACACTCTAATGTCCCCTCCCCCACAGTCACATCAGTCTCTGTACCGGAGGAGCTTACACTCTAATGCCCCCTCCCCCACAGTCACACACTATTATTATTATACATTTACATAGATCTGACATATACCGCAGCGCTGTACAGAGAACACTGAGCCAGTCACATCAGTCTCTGCATCAGAGGAGAGCTTACACTCTAATGTCCCCTCCCCCACAGGCACATCAGTCTCTGTACCAGAGGAGCTTACACTCTAATGTCCCCTCCCCTACAGGCACATCAGTCTCTGTACCAGAGGAACTTACACTCTAATGTCCCCTCCCCCACAGTCACATCAGTCTCTGTACCAGAGGAGCTTACACTCTAATGTCCCCTCCCCCACATTCCCATCAGTCTCTGTACCAGAGGAGCTTACACTCTAATGTCCCCTCCCCCCACAGTCACATCAGTCTCTGTACAAGAGGAGCTTACACTCTAATGTCCCCGCCCCCACACTCACATCAGTCTCTGTACCAGAAGAGCTTACACTCTAATGTCCCCCCTCCCCCACAGTCATACACTATTATTATACATGTATATAGCTCTGACATATACTGCAGTGTTGTACAGCCCACATGGAAGAAAAATATATTTGGAATACATTTTAAAAATTTTCTTCCCAAATATATTGACATACATTTGAAATGCTACAATTTTGGCCGTATTCAATATACTTAAAAAATATATATATATATATACACACTGCATGTTGAAATGTGTTTTTATTACAAAATATATGAAAAATATTTTTAAAAATAAATTTCAAATATACTGCATGTCTTTGAAATACAAATCTACATGTTTGGAATGCATTTACAAATATATGAAAAAAAAAATTACCGTATTTTTTGCACCATAAGACGCGCACTTTTTCCCCCCCAAAAAAGGGGGGAAAATGTCAGTTCGTCTTATGGAGCGAATATGGAGCGGCCGGTCCGGTATTTCCACTGTCGCCATGTCAGAATACCGGGCTGGCCGCTCAGCTCTACAGCGGGACCATTCTAGAGATGACTGCTGACCTTTGGGGAGGGAGGGGGAGCGGGTACCTGAATTTGACAGATACCCGCTCCCACTTCCGTGGAGTTGTTCTTTCATCTTACCCGTTCCTCTATCCAGCGGCGCGGTCTTCCCGGCTTCTGTAGTGTGGGCATGACAGCCGGGTGCCAAGTGCGCATGCGCAGGAAGCGGTGCTTTTTGTGAATGGTAAGGTGGCACCTGGGACACATGACAGATCCCAGAAGCCGCCGGACCAATCACAAAGCGCAAGTGCTTCTCGCTCATGCGCACTGGGCACCCGGCTGTCATGCCGAGCGCCATTACAGAAGCCGGGAAGACAGCGCGCGGCTGGATAGAGGAACAGGTAAGATGAAAGAACAACTCCGCGGAAGTGGGAGCGGGTACCTGTCAAATTCAGGTACCTCCCCCCCCTCCCCAAAGGTCAGCAGTCATCCCCTGTACTATCCACAGTCTCTGGTCATCCCTGTGCTGTCCGCAGTCTCTGGTCATCCCTGTGCTGTCCGCAGTCTCTGGTCCATCTCCTTTACTGTGTCCGCAGTCTCTGGTCATCCCTGTACTGTGTCCGCAGTCTCTGGTCATCCCTGTACTGTGTCCGCAGTCTCTGGTCATCCCTGAACTGTGTCCGCAGTCTCTGTCATCTCCTGTACTATGTCCGCAGTCTCTGGTCATCTCCTGCACTATGTCCACAGTCTCTGGTCATTACCCCTGTACTGTGTCCGCAGTCTTCTGGTCATCTCCTGCACTGTGTCCGCAGTCTCTGGTCATCTCCTGTACTATGTCCGCAGTCTCTGGTCATCCCCTGTACTGTGTCCGCAGTCTCCCCTGGTCATCTCCTGTACTATGTCCGCAGTCTCTGGTCATCTCCTGTACTATGTCCGCAGTCTCTGGTCATCTCCTGTACTGTGTCCGCAGTCTCTGGTCATCTCCTGTACTATGTCCGCAGTCTCTGGTCATCCCCCTGTACTGTATCCGCAGTCTCTGGTCATCTCCTGCACTATGTCCGCAGTCTCTGGTCATCTCCTGTACTGTCCGCAGTCTCTGGTCATCTCCTGTACTGTGTCCGCAGTCTCTGGTCATCTCCTGTACTGTGTCCGCAGTCTCTGGTCATCTCCTGTACTGTGTCCGCAGTCTCTGGTCATCCCCTGTACTGTGTCGCAGTCTCTGGTCATCTCCTGTACTGTGTCCGCAGTCTCTGGTCATCTCCTGTACTGTGTCCGCAGTCTCTGGTCATCCCCTGTACCGTGTCCGCAGTCTCTGGTCATCCCCTGTACCGTGTCCGCAGTCTCTGGTCATCCCCTGTACCGTGTCCGCAGTCTCTGGTCATCTCCTGTACTGTGTCCGCAGTCTCTAGTCATCTCCTGTACTGTGTCTGCAGTCTCTGGTCATCTCCTGTACTGTGTCTGCAGTCTCTGGTCATCTCCTGTACTATGTCTGCAGTCTCTGGTCATCTCCTGTACTGTGTCCGCAGTCTCTGGTCATCCCCTGTACTATGTCTGCAGTCTCTGGTCATCTCCTGTACTGTGTCTGCAGTCTCTGGTCATCTCCAACATGCAGTGTATATTTATATATATTTATAAAAATATATTCTTCAATTTTTTTTTAACATAAAGAAAGTGATTTTAGCATATATTTTTACACATATTTGTAAATTAATTCCACAAATGTAGATTTTTATTTTCAAAGACATACATTATATTTTAAATGTATTTTTAAAATATTTTTTAAATATTTTGTAATAAAAACGCATTTCAACATACAGTATATATATATATATTTTGCAATGTATTGAATACGGCCAAAAATTGTAGCATTTCGAATATATGTCAATATATTTGGGAAGAGTATTTTTAAAATATATTTCAAATATATTTTTCTTCCATATGGGAGAGAACACAGAGCCAGTCACATCAGTCTCTGCACCAGAGGAGCTTACACTCTAATGTCCCCTCCCCCACAGTCACATCAGTCTCTGTACCAGAGGAGCTTACACTCTAATGTCCCCTCCCCCACAGTCACATCAGTCTCTGCACCAGAGGAGCTTACACTCTAATGTCCCCTCCCCCACAGTCACATCAGTCTCTGTACTTGAGGAGCTTACACTCTAATGTCCCCTCCCCCACAGTCACATCAGTCTCTGTACCAGAGGAGCTTACACTCTAATGTCCCCTCCCCCACAGTCACATCAGTCTCTGTACCAGAGGAGCTTACACTCTAATGTCCCCTCCCCCACAGTCACATCAGTCTCTGTACCAGAGGAGCTTACACTCTAATGTCCCCTCCCCCACAGTCATACACTATTAGTATACATTTATATAGCTCTGACATATACTGCAGCGCATATACTGTAACCCAGAACAGTCAGAGTGATGGTGATTTATCCTCTACAGCAGTTAAGCAATATGGCTTGGTCACTTCCACCCCCCCCCCGGCTTGATTGGCCAATCAGTGATCACATGATCGAGAACTCACACAGAGCTCCCGTACAATGATCGGAGGAGGACACAGTGGGCACCAGATTGCGGTGCTGTGAGCTCCCAGGGAGCGTGCACAGGCAGGGGAGTGTGGAGGACGTTTATAAATGGGCACCCACCCCTGCACTGCTCCCGCCCAGCCGTCTATATACATGGGCCGGACGGGAAGTGGTTAACAGAAAAAAAATAGCTAAACTGAAGTTTAGGAGCTGTTCAGTGTTTTTTGCAGCAGCCCCTGAAGTCTCCTTTATGTTTTCCTGCGTCCGTTTACGTGCATTTGTGTTTAGACACGTTTTTGGGCTGGTCCATATCCAGATGCTGTCCAAAGCAAAAATGCAGGCACAGCGTTTTCCATGTATTCAAATGGACCCGGTACACCAGCGCAGTCAGTTCCAGGATTCGCGCGCAGGAAAAAAAAATGGTAGAATACGACGCATTATGCTCATGATGGGATCCATAGTGAATACAACCAGAAAAGACTGGTCATCTCCACACATACTGCTCTCTCTGCTTCCGCTCTCTCTATTTATCACAAAATGTCTGAAATGGTTAGGTATGCATTCTGGGAATTTGGGAGGGTCTCCTAAAATGCTTCGAAATGTAAAACGTGGTAGTTAAACGTGGCTAAACTGATGTTTCTAACCTACGTTTTCTAGCAGGTCAAAAAAGTTTTTCAAACACCCCCGTGTACATGAGCCCTAAAAAAAGTCTATTTCTAGCCAAATATTGAATCCCCCATTTCCCCCACCAACTTCCCTTCCATCCAATAACAAATAGAAAAACAAAATCACCATTTAGAATTTACCTGTGTCACATGGCCCTCAGTGTCGCCTCTTCTGGGAGTGAAGATTGGTGATCCACAACTGAGCCAAGATTTACTGCCAACTAATCTTGTTGTCCCCTCTTGTGGTGCCCTCATCGTACCACCGCTGGAGTCAGAGCTCTTTGTCTCCCGAAACGCATTAGCCTGTCCCATCAAGGGTGTATTATTCCATTGGACCGTCTTTACGGACTACCTGCTCTGTTTTTATTCCCTTTTGGTTTGTGAGTATATATCTATAGTTTTTTAATAAAAACGTGAAGTACCACGTTAATGCGTGATGAGAGTGCGCCCTTGTTTGTTTTTGTTCACCAGTACCTAGATTTCCCGATCTCTGAAGGGCTGCACCTCAACGTTTGGCATTCAGAATTCCTTTTAGTCTGCATGAAGATTTGAGCGCTGGTTTAGTTTGTTCTTTTGCACCGCTGGAGTCTACAGGACCCTGTGAGGATCCCACTGATGGACCCCATGGAAAGTGTCTGCTTCACGAGGCAGCGATGTAGGAACCTGAAGAAGGATCTTCCTACTCCAAAGTATACAGAAGAGAAGACCCAAGACCCATCACTCCACATGACCGCAGATTCAGGTAATTATTTAGGTCCAGGGGCAGACTGACAACTCATGGGGCCCCCGGGCAATAGGGGATCATTGGGCCCCTGTGTCCTTGCCCAAACTCAAAAAAGCCTATGAAAAAGGTACCAGGGGCATCTCACGGGGCCCCCTACTGACCCCGGCCCTCGGGCAGTGCCCGAGTTTCCAAATGGTCAGTCCGCCCCTGGTATTAATACATCATACAAAAGCATTTCAGGCAATTTGTGCATTTCCAACCTTGTGCAGACAGTTTGGTGAAGATCCCTACCAGGGCGGACTGACAACTCATGGGGCCCCCGGGCAATAGGGGATCATAGGGCCCCTGTGTCCTTGCCCAAACTCAAAAAAGCCTATGAAAAAGGTACTAGGGGAATCTCATGGGGCCCCCTACTGACTCCGGGCCCTCGGGCAGTGCCCGAGTTTCCAAATGGTCAGTCCGTCACTGTTTAGGTCATTAACTTTATGTGTTTTTTTAGCTACCCGGACAATTAGCTAGAATGTTGGAGTGTTTTTTGTGACGTGGGAGACCCGGGCCAAATATCAGCTTTAAAAATAAAAGTATCCATTTTGTGATTAATAGAGGACTCCTTTCAGGTTCTACAACATAGTTCGCCTAGAATGCCAACCAAGGACTTTAACACAAGAAGTTTTGAATAATCTGTGTAGGAGGAAATAAAAAAAAAATTCTTAACACCATTGATGGACCCAATGGGAAGTGTCTGTGACAACAGGCAGTGATGTGGGAATCCAAGGAAGGACCCTCCTACTTTACAATCCAGGGAAGGGAAAACCCTATATCTGGCTCTTCACGTGTGTAACGGACCGCCTGACAGTACCTCTATCAGTCCCCTGATAGAGCCTCCCCAGAGTGCGGAGTCTAAGTACCGGAGCACTTGTTCACCAGGGCCCCTGATGGTGGGGATGGACTTGGAGCGCTCCGGGACCAGGTCGCAGCTGCTAGGTATCTCTACCAGAGGTAGAGGAGTCTGCCAAGGGCTCCAGCGGGTTAAGAGTCTGATGTGAGGGAGCCCAGGGATCCCTGAGGGATGGATGGACGGATGAGCAAAGTCAGAGTCAAACAAGCTGGGTCGATAACTAGCGGGTCGATGAGGTACAAGACGATAGGCAAAGGATAGTCGGGTCACACGCCGGGTCAATACCAAAAGATCAAATCTATAAGGGAACATCCAGGAGCAGAGTCAGGCAAGCCAAGGGGTCAGGACAGGAGAAGGCAACAAGGTCAGACAATCCAGATCAGAGTACTCACAACACAGGCAACAGGATACAAAAGACCATTCGGCAACAAGCATCTGTGCAGGGCTGGTTTAAGTAGCCCGCCCTGCACCTGACAGGTGCCACCTAGGTCCCAGTGCCTGCCTAGTACTGTCAAGACGACGGGTGCGCCTGGGTCCTAGTGCCCTGCTACCTGCACGTCTTGACAGACGCCTACGCATGTGTAGACCCATGCGTCGCGATGGTCCCTGACAACGTGATCAAAGATTCAGGTAGATATTTAAGTCATTAACTTAATTTTTTTCCTAATTACTGGGCAATTAGCTAGAAGGTTGGGTATTTTAAGCTAAAGATCAGCTTTAAAAAATAGTCCTTTTGTGATAAAAGGATAAAGAGGAACTTCAGCCTTTCCGACCTACCCTACATTCACCCCTCTCCTTACATTTGACTGTTCTGCAGAGTTAGGATACTCATCAAGCCAGCAGATCCAGTATTGACCTGCTGGGATCCTCCTCTCTGGTGCCACCATGTTTTCTGTCACAGCTCCCGACTCGTCTGGGTGCAGGCGCTGGTCCACCCCCTCCTCTATAATGAATGGGACTGCAGGTCATGCAATGCAGGGGGTACTGTGTAATTCGCCTAAGGCAAATGCAGGATGGTGGGGGCAGACCAAGTCTTTCAAGAAAAAAAAAAACCAGTACGTTATAAAAAAAAAACCAATATCAGCACTGTGGAGGGAGGGGGGGGGGTGATGGAGAGGTGGAAAGTTCTGCGGGAGGGTGAAGTTCTGCTTTAATAGGGTTCTCCTTGAAGTTCTACATTATATATTTCCAGGTCTAGAATGACAACCAAGATGTTTATTATCAGAAGGTTTGAACAATCTGTGTACGTGTTAATAAAAAAAACCTCTAACACCGTTTTTAATTAACCAGTATCAGGTGCCCCTCAATGTGACCTCCGTGAGTGAATATTTATATTTTATCAATAAAGTCTGGGCCCCAGTCTACTGGTCTTGTTGTCACCTATAATGGTGTCATCATCATGCCACTGCTAGAGTCTTCAGGAGCCTGTGAGTATTCCACTGATGGATCCAATTGGGAAGTGTCCATGACACCATGGAGCAATCAGAAGACCCATTGAAGGACCCTTCTATTATCCAGTCCAGAGAAGACTCAAGACTTCATATGATTCAGGTAAGTATTTAGGTCATTAGCTTTATGTATTTGTTCTTTTAATTACTGGGACAAAGGGGAGGGGTTTTGGTGGAGTAGGAGACCCTGGCCAGAAATCAGCTTTAAAAACAAAAATGTCCATTTTGTGATAGAATATTAATCAAGGTCTCCTGGAACTTTTACAACAGAGTTTGCCAGTTCTATAATGCCAACCAATGCGTTTAACATCAGAGGTTTAAAATAATATGTGTATATTGAAAAAAAATTCTAATTCAAGTTTTAATTCACCTGTGCCATATGGCCCCAGTTTTGCCTCTTCCAAAAATAAGGATTGATAGTTATTGCAATCTGGGCCTCCTGCCAAAGGATCTTGGTGTCCTCGTCATGTCACTGCTGGAGTCTCCTGGACACTGTGAGGACCCTCTTACTTGCAGTCCACAAAAGACAAGTCTGGAGACCCAACACTTCACATGGCTGCAGTATTTAGGTCATTACTTTTTTATTTACATTTTATTTTTATTTTTTCATTTTATAATTATTTTTATTTCATTTCTGGGGCAATTAGCTAGAAGGGTTGTTTTTTTTGGAGTGGGACACTTTGGCCAGGTGTCAGCTTTAAGAATGAAAGTGTACATTTTGTAATAGAAAGTTAATAGAGGTCTCTTTGAAGTTCTACAACATAGTTTGTCGGTTCTAGGATGCCAGTCAAAGTGTCTGAGATCAGAATTTTAGACTAATCTGTGTATGAGAAAATGGAAAAAAGAACTGTAACATAACTTTTAATTCACCTGCGTCACATGGCCCTCAGTACCGACTCTTCCAAGAGTGAAGACTGATGATCTACCTATTCAGACCAAGTTCCCTGTCTACCAGTCATGTTGTCACCTTTCATGTCATTCCACTGCTGGAGTCTTTGAAACTGTGAGAGGATCCTGCTGATGAACCCAATGGGAAGCATCCAGATCACCAGGCAACAACCCATGGAAGGACCCTCCTACTCTGCAATCCAGAGAAGAGAAGACTCAAGACCCAGCACTTCACATGACCACAGATTCAGGTAAGTATTTAGGTCATTAACTTTTTTATTATTTTATGTTTTAATTACTGGGACAATTAGTTGGGGGAGATATTTTTGTAGTTAGAGACCCTAACCAGGAATGAGCTTTAAGAGATAAAAAAAATGTCCCTTTGAAATAGAAGGTTTAAGGAGTTTTCCCTTGAGATTCTACAACATAGTCTGCCAGTTCTAGAATGCCAAACAAGGTGTTTAACATCAGAAGTTCTGAATAATCTGTGTATGAGGAAGTAAAAAAAAAAACTCTAACACCATTGATGGACCTATTGGAAAGTGTCCACGTCACCAGGCAGCAATGTAGGACCTGACCAGAGATCAGCTTTGAGAAATAAAAGTGTCCTTTCTGTGATAGAAGGTTAATAGAGATATCCTTGAAATGGTAAGTGTCCAAGAGCCAGAGATGTGGGAACCCAGAGAAAGACTCTCCTATTTGGTAGTCCATAGAAATGAAGACCCGAGACCTGAATCTTCACATGATGTCAGGGCAGGAGCTGAGGAACGGACAGGCAGGCCTAAACAATGTAACGCACAGGCTGACGACAACCACCACCCACAGACCGAAGTCCCTCAGGGCGCGGAGTCTAAGTCCCAGGCTGCCCTTCACCAGGGCCCCTGATGGTGGGGATGAACTTGACGCAGCCAGGAACCAGGTCGCGGCCCCCGAGGCACCCCAGCTGCGGTAATGGCCGCCGCCAATGGCGTGTAGCTAGTGGTAAAGACAATAGAGTAGTCAGGCGGGCCGGGTCAACAACAACGAGACAAAAACGGTACAGGACAGCAGGCGAGAATCACAGGTCACGAGCCGGGTTCAGCAACAGAGGGTCAGATCAAAGGAGAACACACAGAATGGTCAGGTCACAAGCCGAGTCAGATTCCAGGAGAGTCACGAGAGTCAGAACAGAGTAACGGCAACACAAAGACACAAGACACAAGTGCAAAGAGCATGTGCGGAACACAGGCTTATATGTCATCAGCCACACCCCTCTGGGGGATAGACCTCAGAGACCTGAAGGCATAAAAGATTCCCACCATGCTCTGCAGAAATCCAAGATGGATGCCAGCACATGGAGTAACATAACCTCTGGTAAAAAGGTAGGATCATGACACATGACCAAAGATTTAAGTAGATATTTAAGTTATTCCCTTTATTTTTTTAATTACTGGGCAGTTAGCTAGAGGGGGTTGGGTTTTTTTTTGGGGGGTGGGAGTCCCTGTCCAGAGATTGGCTTTAAAAACATCTATTTTGTGATAGAAGGTCAACAGGGATTTCATTGAGGTTCTGCAGCATAGTGTTCCAGTTTTAGAATGCCATCCGAGGTGTTTAACATCAAAAGTTTTGAATAATCTGTGTATGAGGAAGTAAAAATAAAACTCTAACACCATTGATGGACCTATTGGAAAGTGTCCACATCACCAGGCAGCAATGTAGGACCCTCCTTTTTTGCAGTCCAGAAAACTGAAGGCTCAAAACTCCAATGCTGCGCATGACCCCAGATTCAGGTAAGTATTTAGGCCATTAACTTTATTTTTTGTTTTGAATACTGGGACAATTAGCTGGGAGGGATTTTTGTAGTGGGAGACCCTGACCAGAGATCAGCTTTGAGAAATAAAAGTGTCCTTTCTGTGATAGAAGGTTAACAGAGACGTCCTTGAAGTGGTAAATGTCCAGCAGGCAGTGATGTGGGAACCCGGAGAAAGACCCTCCTATTTGGTAGTCCATAGAAGAGAAGACCTGAGACCTGAATCTTCACATGACCAAATATTTAGGA